ATACAAACAACATTTCAAATGTAGAAAGCAGTGCTTGAACGTTGGTATAATTTCAAAAAATGTGAGAAATGTGTGTTTTATCTGCTCAAGAATGCATATATACATATAATTTCTTCATGATATAGGATGTGAAATTAAATATTTATTAGAGTTTTTTTTACATAACCAGCCTTTCTCTGTTATCATTATTCACTGCAACTGCAAGAAAGTTACTACTTTTAAAGTAAAGATTGACAAATCAAGAATACTGTATCTGGAAAAGCAATCCTGAAACCTGTATAAAATTAGTACTGCTGACTTCACTTATGGCTGAAAAATTTAATGTGTTTAAAGATAATTGGAATTATTTTAATGGAAATATTAAATAATTGTGATATCCAAATAATAGTCTGTGTTTAACTAGAATAAATCTTTACCAATCACAGATTAATAAATTGCATTAACATCCACATCACTTGGTAGAATTAGAACCTTCTTTTGCAGTAAAGATGCACTGCTAATCATCTGATCTTCTCCAAATGGGAAAGAAACCTATAAAATTAGTATAGATTTTACTTGTACCTGAATTCAAGTTAAATAAAAACAAAGAATAGTTTGTTGTTTATGAGCCCACCAAGAGCACACCAACTCTATAGTAGTGATAATTCTAAATCTTTTTTTTTTCCAGAAAGGTTTCTTCTTGTAGCATTTTCAATCACTAGTCACCCAATTAACTATTATACAATAAGAATAATGTAGAATATTTCTTTGTGCAATATAGAATATTTCCAAGAATCCAACAATAAGTATTATCTTCCCAAGTTTCTCCATTCTCCTTCTGTATTGTAGCAGTGCAGGTGGTTCTGGTTCACACTGGCATACCCATCTAACACCACTGTTATGTGAGTTCCGTTGGCTGCCAGTAGTTTTCTGGTTAGAATTCTAAGTGCTGGTTGTCACTTATACAGTAAAGGCCTTTATGGCACAGAGCTGGGTTATGTGCAGGACCTCATGTCTTCAATTATCTTTGCCCATTCCAAAATGTCCAACAGGGTAGGCATGAACTGCCCCCCCATCAAACAAAGGTTATCTAATGGGAGCTAGGAAACATGTCTTCTCTGTTACTGCACCTGTCCTTTGGAACAGCATACTCCCTGAGATTTGGATGGCCCTGACCCTGAGGGCCTTTTGGAAGGCACTAAAATCTGGGTCTTTTATTTTTATTTATTTTGCCCATTCTTCAAAGTGTGGATTTGGGTGTTGCCCCTGGGATGACATATCCTTGTTTCTTTTGATGTTTAATTGTTAAAAGTTGTCTTTTTTTGGGGGGGGAGGGTTAATTTTAATTCTTGTTTACCACCTAATGTCATATGTGGAGTTAGCAGCTGTATACATCTAAATAAATAAATAAAGGTAGCTCCCTAACCTTATTAAGTCTTACATCTTAAACAGAACACCACTTATAGGTTGAGATCTTCTTCAGTATATTAAAAGTATTTTAGAAAAAGTAATGGATAACAATCCATAAAACTACATTTATTCATAATAAGTATATTTGTCAGGTCAGTTCAGCTCATTAATATAGTAAGGCAGGATACCTGGTTTATAGCATTTTATTTTTACTGAATATAAACATTTAAGATGTGATTATTTGATTTAAAGCAATTTAGACCTATTGAAGTCAGTGCAATCAGGGGGCTAAAGTCCAACTGCCAGCTATAACTATTTCATGGATCACAGTCATAGATTTAATTATGTATTACTCCTCTTTTTCTTTATTTAGAGTGTACTATATTTTATATTGCTTCTCACAAAGACAATTTTTAAAAAGCTGAAAAACAAACCAGGCTGTTTGTTTTTGTAACAGGTTCATAAATCACAATTCAATTAAGAATCAGTTTTGACTCATAGTTCCTTGTACGTTTTCAAAGCTAAACAAGCAAGAAATAAATAAAGCTATTGAATGGAACTAATGTTGTCTCTATAGTACTCTGGTCTTATGTTTATATATTAAATAAGATGAGTGCTAGATAAAGGTATGACATTGTCAGCCCTCCTAGGTAGACCAGACCAGGAAATCAACTTCACAGGAACAGTAGTACAGAATCTTGCGAGTCTGACTGTGCTGTACCTCACCCGCTTCTTATAATCCAAAGAATTTGACAATTGGCAGCCCAGATAAACATACCGGCAACAAAAAACCATCAGTTCAAATACAATACAAATATTCAGCAAGCTTGGGACTTGACAATAAATAAATAATTTTAAAAACCCTATTCAATGTATTCAGTGTATAATTGTTCATATGTTCAGACCCTTACACTAATAATTAATGATATGAATCCACTTCGTTAAAAAATCATTTTTTCACAACAACACCTAATTGGTCTTTGCAATGAACCTAAGTGACTCATCTGCTCTCAAATACAAATCTAATTGCTGGTGTCATATCTGCTCTTATTTTCTGATTCTTACAATTCTTCCTTTAAAAGCAGAAGAAAAACCTGTCTATACCAAACTGGGGTGGGGGTGGGGGGAAGAAGCAAAGGAAACCAGGATTTATTATAGGTGTGATGCACAGTACTATTCTCCCCTATTATACTTGCCCATCCATACAAAAATAACAATAAAGGCAAGAGTTTTATTTTTATGTTATGTATGAGCTCAGAATGTACATTTCCAGACAATGACTTGAGTTTTTCTAGAACATACCAGTGCCTTCGACATTTACAAGATTTCAGATACTGACAAGACTCCCAGATTGTTGTCTACCTGACTTCCTTCCTTAATGGCATTTATTTCTCTATAACTACTGTAAGTAGTACCTAATTTTGAACAGTACAGATCATAGGCTTATTTTTGAGTGGCTCCTTTCAGTTTTCGGGGAGGGGGGGGAATATGTGCACTCATTCTTACAGATTACCAAGATATTAAAGTTATCTAATTTTTAGTATAGATAATTATAAATATTGAAGTTTTCTTCAAATTACAGAATTCATAACTAGAATGTAACAACATGCGATGGAAATATACTTCAACTGAAACAAACTGTCTTTCATTTTACTGGTAAAGAACTAGTAATTAACTCTGGATTCTAAACATGGATTGATTATTTATTTATTTATTTATCCATTCATCTATCCATCCATCATATTTATATAGCCACCCATCTCATAGATTTGTGACTCTGGGTGGCATTCAATAAAAAAGACAATCATAAAAACGAACAATTAAAAATTTGAAAGTTAAAACACAAAGTTACTAATAACTGAGTAACAGAGAGAATTATTGTCATGGGCAATAAAGCCATCTCACTAATTCACCATCACCTTCAGACCTCCAAGCCTGTTGGCACAACCATGTTTTAAGGGACTTCCTGGAGATATCAGGGATGGGGCCAGTCTCACCTCAGGGGGAATGATGTTCCAAAGGGCATGTGCCATGGCAGAAAAGGCCCGTCTCCTGGGTCCCACCAGATGAAACTCCTTAGTGAATGGGACCTGTAGCATACCTCTTCTGACGGACCTAATGGGATGGGCAGATGTAATTGGGTGGAGGCGGTCCCCCAGACAACCCGGCCCCATGCCACTTATTCAACACTGATTTGTAAAATTACAAATATATGATGAACTGTGTTTCCCAAAGTTGTATCTGCATTTCCAGAGTAAAGAAATCCAGCATCTTCAAAACTAAATCTAGTTAGTAGAGAAAAACTGGATGTCAATTATTAAGCTTAGGAAATTATTTACACTGAATGAGGGGTGTCATGGAAAGGAGAATGATTGAACATACCATGATAAAATATGATGGAGAAACTGAAATAGCAAGCAGAAAATCAACAAGATTGAAAGCAAGGCACAAAAATAGACTAGATAATGTTTTATATTTAGTTAGATGAGCCAGCAATGAAGTCCCTTTCATGTTGGTTTTGATAGTCAGTAGGGGAGTCAAATTTTGATGAAGCATTAGTGAAGTCTCAGCACTTTTCATAAAAAGATGAGCTCAAGCATGAGTCATTCAAAGGAAATCAGAAATTACTTTCTTACAGAATGATCTAGCTTTCTTTTTCTCTGAATCATTAAAAATAGCATAAGTCTTGTTTTATTTTCTTTTAATTGGAATTTGAATGTTTGTTATTACATCTTCATTAGCAAGTCTACACTACTGACTGCTCCACTGGTATCTTGGTGGGAGCAGAGCAGCTCATTTGAGACATAAAAAATGATTTTAAAGTGAAATATCTTCCTCCTCCCTCCACATCAGCATTTTTTAAGCTGCAGGCAACACACTGCATCTGCAGTGAATCATACAGAATGACATCTTTAATGAAGGAAAGGATAGTAGAAATAAAAGGTATGACATAACAGTTCCATTCTAATATCATTAGTAGTGTTCTCACTTCTCTTCTCCCAACACATTAACTTTCATGCAGGAATGCTCATATTGATATGATTAAAATTAAGATAAAGACTGAAGACCATTATTTCAGCAATGCCAATAAGATTGGCTGCAGATACTGGCCTTAAACAAAATCACAGAATGTCACCTGACAAACTTTATGTGTAGTACTGCAAAAATACTGCAGTGCAGGACAACCATTTTCCACAAACCAATTTCACATTTGTAGATTCTGGCACAAAAAACAAACAAACAAAATACCAAGGGTATTCTACTCTGCCATCTGGTGATCATGGCATACAATAATTAAAAAGCTGGTCTACAACCAGCTTGTCAATGTGGTTGCACTGGGAAAATGGCCTAACATTTCTCAGCTTCATCACTTGACAGAACAAGCTAAAGTCTTTACACAAGAAACCAAACCAATAATTGTCAAATGTAGGTAATCCTTCTTACGACAACAGCAGCAAAAATTTCAAACATCATCTTTGCATTAAAGCATTCAGTGGGCATTTGGACATACATTTTTAGATAAATCATTGTTATAATAAGATTAAATAAACCACCTGATCACTAGTCCCATTTTAGATGGATTCTCAGTTAAATTATACTTCAGTTCTTACCATCGACACATGCTGGCCTTGCCCTTGTAGTACCGGCAATCTGTCCTTTTTTACATGCACAACGAGCTGTTTGTCGGGCTATGGTTCTTCGAGGCTGACTGCTATCTCTGTCCAAAGTAACAATCTCACATGTACCTGCGGCCAACTGACCTGCAAAGAAAACCAGCAACAGGTTTCATAATCAATATCTAATGTAGTCCAAAAGAGTCATGACCAGTGTTTCAACAGGCACTCCTCAATAAATGAAGATTCAGTTGAGATATATAGATATACATAGATATAGATAATAAAACAGAGGGGACATTTTTTCTCATGTTTCATCGTGAGAGAAATGGTTGTTTCAAAAAAATGCTGCTTTCTATAAATTATTCCAAGTTAACAGCCAGTGGGATATTCAACCAGGGCTAGGGAAATCCAGGTTCTAGTATATCCTAAGCCACCTAAACTCACTAGGCTTTGGAGCAGTGACTTTCCCAGTCCAACCTACTCCAAAGGGGGGAAAAAACAAGGAGGAAGCAATACAATTTAAGACTTCTTGAGCTTTTGGAGGAAAGTTGGGATATAAATCAATCAAATAAATAAATAAATACTTTTATTAGCAACTGACTGAAAGAGGAACTTACTTTTGCAGTGACTGACATATTTCTGGAAAATCTAATGGAAGATTAGTTTATTTTTATTCCCCAAGAACTATATTTTACTTGAGGCATCAGATGGTCATCTTATTTTCATAAAATAAAGGCAGACACTGCTGAAAGTGAGAAGAAAGTGCTGTGGTACAAATAAAGCAAGTAGGTGGCAACAGCAGATGTGATGTAGCACTTAAGCCGCTGGACAGGCATCAGGGAGATGCTGATGGTAATATACCCACAGCCACAAAAGCTCTGTGAGTAATTTGGGGCCAGTTACTCTCTCTCAGCTCTAAATCTCATGGGGTTGTTGTTATAGGGGGAAAAAAATAGCAGAGGTAGCACTATGAACACTGCTTTGAGCAAAAGGAGACATTTAAATCTAGCAAAGCAACATAACACGGAGTAAAATAAAGTAATATGGTAGATAGAAATAGACTGTAGCAGGATTTCATAACTACTGAAGACTCAAAGTCCAAAGCATGTTTATCAGAGAACGAGAACCAGCAAATTAGAATAGCATGTGTTAGGCTGAGCTCAAGACAAATTATTCTGATGTACTTTCTGCATAGTCAATCTTTATCTTTTTTTTTTCTCTTTCCCTATAGAGCTGTCCCTCCACGCCTGCCTGCCTGCCTTCCTTTTCTTCACAGTTTATTTCTGTGTATTCCCTTCCTTTTTGCTTCTGTGTATGAATAAGAGAATAATCTGTGTGTGCATGCAGACTCACATATTACCTAATTTTAAATTCAATTAATTTTAATCATTAGTTATTAATTCAATTATGAATTCTTTCACACAAGGGGACAATTATATTCCTCGTGGGTTAAAAGTGTTGAAGCCAGGGTGATTCTGCAATTATTGTATGGTTCCCAGGCCTATACTTCTGATTCACTAAAAACCATTCAGTCTAAATTCCTTGTTTTGTTTTGTTTTGTTTTGTTTTGTTTTGTTTGTCTCTACAAGAATAGAAATGGAGATTCTCCATTTTTAATTCTGCATGGAGCTGTATTTGAACTCAGACTCCTGATTAAAGAGCAGGTAGCCGGGAGGAACTTTGCTGAAGTTCACCTTGTGCACCAACTGCCTCCTTTCCTTGACTGGAGCCTTATTGATGGTGACTCATGCCTCAGTTACCTCCTATTTGGATTACTGTAATATGCTATACACGGGACTGTCCTTGAAGAAGACAGCAGCAAGGGCAGTTTTTGGGGTTTCTTGTTACACTCATATAACACCACTGTTCTGCAAACTCACTGACTCCCAGTGGGCTTCAGGTATGATTCAAGGTGCTGGTTACCATCTATAAATCCTTATATGGCATAGGAACAGACTATTTTTAGGAATGCCAGTAACCCATCATCTCTGTTTTCCTTTCCTTTAGGAACAGGTAACATTTATAAAATGGCAAGTCTTTTTTATTATTACTATTTATTTATGAAAACAACAAGTGTTCTTATTTTCACCACTTATATTAAATACTTATTTCACTTATGTGAGATACAGTTTGAAACATTTCATTATCAAATAAATAGGGAATCTCTATTAAAAACAACAATGAAAATATCTAACAATAAATAGTAAATAAAATATATAAATGTAATTAAAAGATTAAAATTATTTCAAAAATTACTAGTAAATTTAAACAAATGTTTAAGGTAAGGTTAATAAAGAAGTACTTTCCATTAATTTTATATTATATATACACACACACAGTATATATATATATACACACACACACACACACACACACACATAATGAAATATATATTCATTCATTCATTCATTCATTTTTAAAAACATTCATTCATATTTAAATACATCAGATCAAATCCCTTTATTGCAGTTAATAACCGAACACAATAAAAATACCAGACAAAAAAGAACAGCAATAAGGGAATAGAGCAAACATATAAACAAACAAACAAATAAATTTAAAAAATCAATAAATAAAAAACAAATACAAGGCCAAAAATCCCAGATTCATGCAAACTCTTAAACAGCATTTGGATATAGTATAATATAATATAGTATGGTAAAATAGATTATTTTAACACTATTAAGATTAAGATTGTGACCCTTTCACGGTGCCTGGAGGCTGTGGGGGTCTGAATGGGGAACAGCAGGCTTCAGTTGAACCCTGGTAAGATGGAGTGGCTGTAGGTTGGGGGCTCCTCTGTAACTAGACGTTTACCATCTTTGGTTCTGGATGGGGTGGCACTATCCCAGACAGACCCGGTGCATTATCTGGGGGTCCTCCTGGACTCACGACTCCTGTTCAAAGAGCAGGTGGCAGTCGTGTTGTGCACCAGTTATGCCCTTTCCTGGATTGGGAGGCCCTCCAGTCAGTCACTCATGCCCTAGTCATCTCCCGTATAGACTATTGCAATGCACTCTACATGGCACTACCCTTGAAGAGTATCCAGAAGCTACAGCTGGTTCAAAATGCAGCTGCATGGGCAATTTTGGGTGCCCCAGAGATGGCACATGTCACACCTTTGCTGCACAAGCTGCATTGGGTCCCCGTTTGCTTCCAGGTCCAATTCAAGAGTATGCTGTGGACCCCGTTGATGAAAGAAGGTTGACTGGTGGGACCCAGAAGGAAAGCCTTCTCTGCTGTGGCCCCCGGCCTACCCTTCCCCCAGAGGTGAGGCAGGCCCCTACTCTCTTGACCTTCCAGAAAGCAGTCAAGACCTTGCTCTGCCAACTGGCATGGGGCAAGAAAAGGGGCAACCAACCCTGAGGGTGGCTAACACCTTGAAGATGCTCTATGTTAATATCTTTTTAATCATCAGCATCTTGGAAAATATTATTTATGTATTTGCTTGTGTGCAGTCCCTACCCTTCATCAATGGGTGATTTTTGTAATGGCTGCTATAGTTCTTTGTGTTTGTGAATCCACATAATTAATATTAGCCTTCTAAGCAGTAGGTTTTTTTATAATAATTTTATTAAAAGTTTTAATTACAATGGTAAAAGATAATGCAAATTAAAAAGAAAAAGAAAATAAAAAGGTGCAAAAAAGCAAAAGAAAAGAAAAGAAACCCTAAGAAAGCAACTTCCCATTACAAGTATAAACAATTTGACAATCTCTTCACCTCCTCTTAATTAATAGATACACCACTCTTCATCCCATAACTCATCTCTTAACTAAAGGCAAATCCAATTAGTAATGTCTTCTCCAATCCAGGTATCAGCAAAAAGTCCAAACAGAACCCTAAAACAATAACATTAATTAACATATATAAAACTCAACTTTCCACATCCCAACTCTTTGCTGTAAGCAAGTCCACATTTAGAAGGCATAATCTGATCCCGGTATCCTAATGTGAACAAAAGACTATAAGCACTAGTATTCTGGAACACTACCCTCAAATATCTGAAACTCTTCACCTGCTCCATTTCCTTTTCTTCCATAGTCATTTAAATTGTTTGGGTTTCCTAGCAAAGATTGCCACTTTGGTTTTCTGATCATTAATTACAATATATATGCTGCTTTCTGGAACAGAGCAGAGATACCCAAACTGTGGGTGTATATACACCCACATACACACATATTCTTCAAATAAACTGCACCACAGGAATATATTTAATTCTCAAAAGAAAAAAAAATCTAAGAAACAAAATAAACATAAGTATAGCTATAGAGAAAACAGTATATTTATGCTAATATTTGCAGTAAAATGATATTATATTTCAGCAAAAGTTTAAATGTGTTCAACAAACTGAACAAGCATATACTATCTCCATGGCATTTATAAGAGTCCTAAAAAACTGAAGCCAATATTTTATATAAAATACACTAAAAAACAAATCCAAAGTGTAATCTGATTTAATCATCATACCAGTATTTCAGCTAACTGCTCAATGTGTTACATTCATACATTTACAGGTTATGGTTCATTTTAGTTCATTTGTTATTAAACCAATGGATAAGAAGCATTCTCCAGAAAACATGAATATAAAAAAAAAAAAATCGACATAATTAGGTGGACCACCTGTATTGAATTACTTCACTTGATTTCAGCAAAAGTCAACACATTTTGTTCAATGATAGGTCACACTGTGACTGTTAAAATCATATGCTAATGATGTGCAAATCTTGGGGAAAAGGGATGTAGTAAATTAAATCCTGAGTACAAATATTCTTACCAAATTCAAGGGAAAAAAACATTATCAAATAAAAGAAATACGTAGAAAACCTATTGGTTTCTACAGACACGACACTACCCACTGGACCAGGGTAGGGAACATGCTTGGAACTAGGGGCCACAAGTTGGGCAAATTTATAAATGTGAATTATAAATAAATATGGTTTGTTGGGGCGGCGAGAAGCCTATTGAAAGGAAAATGTTGTTCAGTAAATAAGGTATATTAAACATATCGCATACTTAATTTCATTTCTTTTTCCTCCTTAAAGTGAAAATCATGCCACTTTTCAGCAGTTTCAAGAATTTTAGATTGTAGGAACATATATGACTCATAGGATATGTGTTGCACTAGACCACCTTTGACCTCACC